TGTGCCAAGCATTCTACAAACATCTCATTTCACCTTCACAACAACACAGTGAGGCAGGTGTAATGCAAACTTCACCGCACCGGTCACATCGCATCAATCAAAATCTCTGCTATAGTGACTTGAGAAACAATTGAGGTAAAAATCCCTGAGGGAGGATGGCCATCTAAACGGCTGCAGGAAGTTCAATGTAACAAGAACACAAGTTGAATCCAATGTGAAATCAAAGGTTCGTGAACATAATGAATGACAGGACGGCTGGACCAAGAGATGACCTCCAAACTGATTGGCCAATCACATCCTTCTCCCAAAAAACTCTATAAACCACTCAGGAAAATACACTGAGAGGCAAAAAGGGTGTGCCAAACATTCCAGGGGTGCAAAAAGCAACTATCAATTCAGTGATTACTGAATTAGGCACTCGAAAAAAGTCATAGCATTTATACCGCCTTTATTATCACAAGCCTTTGACTCAGTTCCACACTCATGGTTCAGTTGAGTGCTGCAAACATATAAAATAAATCCAAGCTCAAGGAGAAAAGTAGAGCATTTGATAATTTAAAATATAGTACCAACAAAATAATCTTAAAAACTGATATAAAAACTGGTATTTTTTAAAGAGAAAATTTAAGCCCACTCTAGCTCTGCCTCACTTTATATCTATTATAGTCACCTAAGGGAACTGAACATGGCTTTCAAGAAGCATTTATTAAGTGCCTACTATGTGCTGAGCTCTCTGCTAAGGGCTTTACATATATTATCCCATTTGATCAAAACACCTTAATTATTTGATGAACATGGAATATAGAAAGCTATACGACTCCACACTTTCTCTAATGTTACCAAAATGTTATGTGAACTCAATAATATCTATAAAGCACTTGGCACTTAACAAATGCTCATTCCCTTCCCTATAAGTGCAAAATTCTTAATGTATGCCACGGAAGGGTAGAGATTGAAGGCTTTGAGCTTAATCTGGAGGTGATGTTGAGTCAACAAGTAAAGGTGATGCTTACAGATCCCTTGCTCTTCTCAAGACCAGACACACTGAAAATAGGCTCAAGGCATAAAGGCACAAGGAGAAGCTAAGAAGCTAATGTTAATAAACTGTTATCCTGAAGCTAAAACTACAGGTGAAGCCTATATTTATAATAATTAACACCTATGTGCTTTGAGTCTTAACTTATACTAACAGCATAATAAAATTAACGACAATGGATCTAGAAGGTGTTATAAAAAAACCAGTACAATGCCAATAAAATGTGGGGCTCATGACCTCAAGGCGGCTATAGAAAAATTCACACACTTCATCAAAAAGGAGGAGGGGGCTTGAAAGCTATTCTCAGAGCACCTGATAAACAGGTTAAGTATTTACAGAAATCCTTCTAGAAGAAACAAATAAACATAAACACTAGGTAGGCCCACTTGTTTGGCCAAACGGAATCAAAAGTGGAGCTGATGAAATGGCTACCATCCAAGAGTGCAATCAACAGGTGTTCCATTGGGCAACATTCATGTAAACTCCACTAGCATTATGTCAACAAAGCAGAGCTCCATAAATAAGCAGCTGTGTCGTGCAGACTTGTTTTCTGACAGTAGTTCAGAATCAGGTCATTGCTACCAGCAATGGACCAAGAGCCTTTCTACCCTAATTACTGAATTTATTAGAAAGAAAGGCCAAAGCCATCCCTGCCATCTAAGAGCCCATATTCTAATAGGGGAGAGAAAAAGGCAGCAACATGGTACATATAATGGAGTAGACAGAAGGTAATCTTAGAGAGGAGGACCCTAGCAGCTAGAGAGATCAGGAAATGGCTCCTATGGAAGGTATTAAGTTATTTTTCAGTCGTGTGCGACTCTCACTCTCCATGACCCCATTTGGGGTTTTCTTGATAGAGATACCGGAGTGGTTTGCCATTTCCTTCTCCAGCTCATTTTACAGATAAGAAACTGAGGCAAACAGGGTGAAGTAACTTGCCCAGGATCACAATGACAGCAAGTGTCAGAGGCTGGATTTGAACTCAGGAAGATTCCTCTTCCTGACTCTAGGCCCAGCGCTCTATGCACTATGGCACCACCTAGGTGCCCCTAATCAGAAAGTGAGCTGAGCCTTAAAGAAAGCAGGGAACCTCCTAAGAGGCTGAGGTGAGAAGGGAGAGCATTGCAGGCATAAGGGAGAACCAGTGCAAAGGCATGAAGTCTCTGAGAGGTGGAGTGTTATGTGAAAGGAATGGCAGGAAGGCCAGTGTAGCTAGATGGCTGAACATACGGAGGGGAATGCCTATCAGATCACTCCTCTGCTGGATCTTCATCCACGTCAGCCCATTAACCATGGGGTCACCCTAGGTTCTGCCCTCGGCAGCCCTATATGTTCTCTCACTTGGTGACCTCATCAGCTCCCATGGATTCTATTAACATCTTTATACAAATGACTCCCAGCTCTACATATCCAGCCCTGGCATCTCTTCTGAGCTCCAGACACACATCACCAACTGCCCCCTGAACAACTCAATCTTGATATGCAGCAGGGATCCCAACTGAACGTGCTCAGAATACTTCTCGTTGCCTTTCTCCCAAAACCCCTCTTCTTCTGAACTTCCATATTCCTGTCTAGAGCACCACCACCCTCCCAATCCCCCAGGCTCTCAACGTCCAGGTCATTCTTGATTCTTTTCTCTCTCTCCTCTCCCCCTCCCCCCCGATTCAGTCTACAACCAAATCTTGTCATTGCTACCTTCACAACATCTCTAGTATTCATCTACTTCTTTCCACTCACATAGTCACCAACCTAGAGCAGGCCTTCATCACTTCTTGCCTGGACTGCTGTGATCACCTCCTAGCCAGGCTCCTTGCCTCATGCTTCACACAGTTACTTAAGTGCTTTTCTAAAGCCTGGCTCTAACCACATCACAACCCTAGTCAATAAATTCCAGTGATTCCTTATTACCTCTGGGGTCAAATATAAAATCCTATTTGGCGTTTAAAGCTCTTAAAGTCTGGCCCCTTCCCACCTTTCCTATTTCTGCACTTCATGACTCAGCAATACTGGCTGACTTACTGATCACAGGAGGTCCCATCTCTGTGCCTTCACATTGGCTGTCCCCATGTCAAGAATACTCTCCCTCCAACTTCTGCCTCTTTGAATCTACAGCTTCCTTCAAGACTTACTTCAAATGACACTTTTGGCAGATGGCCTTTTCTGGCCCCCTCCACTGCTAACATGTTCCCTACTAAGTCTATGTTCCATCTATTCTGTATGTTTCTGTATACACACAGTCTCCTGTATCAGAATATAAATTCTGTAATGCCAGAAATTGTTTTGTCTTCCTTTGTATCTCCAGTGCTTGGAATATAGTAAGGTTTTAATAAATGCCTGTCTAGTAATTCCATTACAAAATCCGCTTCTTTTCACAGAACATTAAAATAGAATAGAATAGCACATTCATGCTATCCTTTAGGTTTTTCAGGTAAGCCATGGATCATCTTCACTGGGAAAGCCCTTTGAGCTCATCTGGCCCATAGACTTGTCCAAGATCATGCAGCTAACTACAAAAAAGGCAATATAAAAATCCAGGGCTCCTCACTGGCAAGAAGCAAAAACACCCAGGTGTGTGCCCTGGCATTTCCTCATCTGTAAAATGGAAGTAACGTCTGAACTCGCCCTGTCCCAGGGTATTATAAGGAAGATGCTCTGCAAGCTTCAAGGTACCAAGAACTATGAACTCTGATTCCTACTCACAGCCTAGAGCTCTCTCTCTCCCTCTGATGACCAAGTTAAAATGCAGGTGTCCACAGACAAAAGAAAACAGATACCTATCCCTAGCACAGTAACTTCCCTCTTGGGTCCCAAGCCCTGAGTCACAAAGGTGCTTTCCCCTCAAGAGGAGAGTAAGAGTGACCAAGCCTTATCCTAACATCCCAGACTTTTCTTCTTCTACATTAACATCCTCTGCATCAGAGTAACTTCATGACAGCAGCCAAGTGGTCATCTTATCTCATTTCTGCCATGAATCTGCTGTCTGACTTTAAGCCAGGGATTTTCCCCTCTGGATCACAGACAATTCATTGTAAAACGAAAGCTGCGGCATAGATGATCTATGGTCCTCTCCAGTTCCAAGATTCAAGTTTTTTAAGATTTAACTGTATCAACTGCATGAAGTTTAGGGCACACTAAGGTAATTTCACAGCATCAGAAAGAGCTGGACTACCTTGGAAGATCAGTAACAGAGCTAAACATGAAAAAATGGGAGGATATTCTTTCAATTCCCAGTATTCTTGGGAATTAAGTTTAAATCCTCGTACTCTTACAGACACAGTATGGCATAGAGGGTAGAATTCTGGGCCTGAGGTCAGGAAGACATGTCTTCAGATCTCACCTCTGACACCAATGTATGATCCTGGGTATCACTTCATGTGTCTGAAACAATTCCCTCAGATTTATCTACTGTTGGCATTGGTGAAGGAGTTCCACAAGAAAGGGGAATTTTGAAAGCATGAAAGTAATGAGTGAAGTCAGCACTGAGACTAAACAAATTCAGTCTTGGAAAATGCCCAGGGATAGGCTAGAATGAAAGACAGCAAGCACATTCAGATCTTTCAAAGAAAGGCTCAATAACCTTTGGTTTCTTCTGTACACAGAGGTCAGGAAGACAGGATCTGTCTGAACCACATGCTGACCAGCTATGTCAAGGGCCTAACGTGGGAATAACAGACACCGAGAACAGCTCCTGCATTTCACCCAATTATTGGCCTGCTTTGGCTGAATTTATATTTGTCCCCAAAATCAGGGCCAGTCCTTTAACTCCTCGCAGTTTTTCCTTTTGCTTAGTTATGAGGTTTTAGATCATGCTCTAAATCTGCTTCTTGAGTCTGATCTGAAGAAGCCTGTTGAAATGCCCTGATCTGTCCAGGTTGACCAACCCAAATCCTGACCGAAAAGCATGCACAGAAACCCCGCCCCCACTATAACTCCACTGCTGTTTATGAGAACCCCATGCAAGTACCTCCTGTGAGCACTGACTGCAATTCCCGATTTCCTTTAAAAAAAAAGAAAGAGAGAAAGTCTCACTGCTGTATAATCTATGGAATCTGGAACAACAGTAGGCATTTATAAAATGCAAAAACTCACACACAAAGCTAGTACACACTGGACAGGAACAATGCTGGCTCCCCTGGGCCAAGTCCCCACTACAGTTAAGAAAACCTCTTAAACCCCCTCCCAGTTGTTTGGTTGTTTAGACTTTCTGCAGAATGCATCCTGATGAGGCAAAGCTGCCACGTGTACCCTGGGCAAAGGACTTTACCTGACAGAGAGCTCATCATGCGGACAGCTTTTGCCCTCGCCAGTTCCAAAGCACCGAGCCATTGCTGCCTCTCCACTTCTGATCCGGCCTTTAGGTGATATGTCCTGCCCCCATAGGACAGCAAAATATTACAGGAATCCTCACGGTCAAAATGAGCTGTGGATAAGTTGATTGTTGCACGACAGTTGTAAGCCATCTCCCCCTGATTTCTGCATGATGACAAGAAAGGAAACTGGGTAAATCTCTCGTACTCCACATTCCTAGGGGGAAATGAATAATTATATCAAAATAAATGAGGGCTGACACTACCAAAGTCAATGCCATCTTTAACCACAGACAAAAGTCCCCCTCTATCTCTGTCTCTCTCTCCTGTTGTTTCCACCATCATTTTCTCTCTCTCTCTCTCATCTTTCCCCTCTTACCATATTCGCAGTGTTACCAGCTCAGCATCTCATTACTCGATGAGAGCCCCCTAACTCATTTCCCCTGCTCCAGGCTCTTTCCTTTCCAATCTATCAGATTAATATCCATAAAGCACAGCTTCAGTACAGGTCAGCCATCTATTCAAAAACCTAGTGGTATTCTCTAGCCAACATCTTTCCATCTTGTCCACAATATGAAAAACTTTTGTCAAAAATCTTTTTAGAATCTGGGTAAACAATATCTCCAGTCAAAAAAAGAATTAGGTTACTACGACATGAACTGTTCTTGACACAGCCAGGGAGCTTTCTTTTCTCGATCTTCACTAACCATCCTTTCCACAATTTTTTCTAGAACTTGGAAAAAAAATCAAAGTCAAGCTCATTGGCCTGATAAGAGTCTTAAAACTCTAACATCCCTCCAGGATTTTTTCCAAGGTCACTGACTTTTACTCAGCAATAACACATACCAGTTCTTTTCAGTATCCTGAGACATACTTCATCTAAGACTGAACTAGTGCTTTTAACTTAAAGTAGTGTTGACTGCCAGTCAGAATCTGCCTGGCATTCAAGGCCTTCCATCATCTGGTCCAAGCCTTCTCTCATATACTCTGCTCCAGCCAGAATGGCCCAAAGGCCATTCCATAAATACATCACCCAGTGTCCTCCCCTCGGCAACCCTATTTTGTTTTTTGTTTGCTGAAAGTCTACACATCCTCCAAGGCCCAGATCAAGCTCTTTCTCCTCAACAAGCTTTCACCAGATGGACTCAGCATTCTGGAATGTTCCTCATTCTGGAATATTCTCATCTAAATGAAAAGTTGACATATTCCATTCTTCCATGGTTTATTATAAATGTAGGGGACATGTCTTATTGACCTTAAAGTTCTCTAAAATAGGGGGTTGAGGGGGGAGAATCAAGAAGAGTCTTCCTGACTCTATCTACATAGCTGCTCCACCCCACCCTATCCCACCTCAAAAATACTCCTCTTCTTCAGTCAAATATGGGTGTAGACATTTACCAGCTATGTGACCCTGGGCAAGTCACTTAACCCTGTTTGCATCAGTTTGCCTCAACTGTAAAATGAACTGGAGAAGGAAATGGCAAATCACTCCAGTATCTTCGCCAAGAAAACCCCAAAAGGGGTCATGAAGAGTCAGATATCCCACCCTATCCCATATCTTTTTTAGACAAAGTGATATTTGATGATGTCAGTGATCAGTAAAACTGCTGCTGAAATAGACAGTGTCTGAGTGCTGGCCATGGTGTCAGGAAGAAATGAATTCAAATTCAGCCTCTGATAAGTACTGGCTGTATGAGTCATCTAACCTTAATCTGCCCCAGTTTCCTCACTTGTTGTGAGGATCAAATGAAATATTTGTAAAGCCTTACTTAGCACAGTGCCTGGCATATAGTAGGCACTCAATAAATGCTTGTTCTCGTCCTCCCCATGTTGAGCCATGCCTCCAACACCTTGTACTTAAAGTTCATTTTTTGAAGCCAAGTGTTAGGCTTTACTTTTAATCCTATTAAATTTCATCTTAGAAGCAATATGGCACAAATGGATCCAGAGCTGGCCTTGACCTTGAATTCAGGTAGACCTCCATTCATGGCCTGTCTCTGGGTGTGTGACTCTGAGTCTCTAACCCAGATAATTCTTGCAGACTATAAGCTGCACCACAGTTATTGACTGGCATCTGCGTAAGAAATTTCCTTCTTGAGAAATCCCCACTTTGATGAAAGCACAAGTCCAGGCCAAAATTTTCATTTGATTTGATTTGCATAAATGCTCTAGCTGGTCAACGTTTTTATAAATTCTGACTATGTTGGCAATCCAACCTAGTTTCATGTCATCTTCCAAAGGAAACATAAACAGACAAATCAACAGGAAAAAGAGTAACAACTGAAGGAAACATGGCCTCCAGATCTAGTAAATGAGTTCAGACACCTAGGAATAAATACTGGGAAAAAAGGGGGGGGCAGAATGAGAGAGAGGACTCTGTGGTATTTGAAGAGAATATGGGACCACAACACACTGTTCCTGAGAGATTTAAAAGAGAAATTAGAATTTTGAGGGCAGAATTTATGGCCTGCATAACAAAAATAACAGGCAGAATAGAAAAACTGAATTCTGTAATGGCAAGTCTTGCCAAAGAAACAAGTGAGGACAACAGATTGGGAATGCGAATACACAAAAGTGAAGGGCAATCTAGAAGAAGACAAATATTAAAAGAAAATATGTTCACTATGCAAGCAAAACATCATACCGATCTTGAAGACAGGATGTGTAGAGACAGAAGGAAGACAGGTCTCACAAAAGAACATAACAGGACAAAAAAAACTTCACCATCATCGTAAAGAAGGAAATAATAGAAAAGAACTGTTCAGAACTTCTATACATAAAAAATTAAATACCAAATGAAAGAATTCACAGATCACCTCCAGGAAAAAAAATCTAATGCTGCAAACTCCAAAACATATAGTAGTTAAACTCAACAATTTGACTCAGAAACAAGTTCTGTAAGCCACTGAGACAAAGATCTTCAAATACAAAGGAAACAACATTCGAATAACACAAGATTATTCTGTACACACTAGAAAACATGAGAGAAAAACAGAATAACTAATGTGTTCCAAAGTGCAATGGAGCTAATAACAGCCTGGGGTGACCTACTCTGGAAGCCTGAATTTAACCATAAATGAAAAAGATGGAAGTTCAAAACCAAAGATGCACATGAAACATTTTTCAAAAGAAAATGAGAACCGGGGAGATGATCACATTCTCAAACACTCCAAACAACAGAAATGCTGGCGGACTGGCTGGCTGGCTGCTGCCCTTCATTCTTGAAGAGGACCAAAGTGACATTACCATGTCAGGGTCAAGGTACAGCATGTCCTTGGCTGTGGCTGATCAGATCAATGTAAGCTGGGAAGGCTCTCCCACAGGCTGGGCACAAACAGTCCATATGAACATTTAGAGTGGAGATGTCTCTAAATACGTGTATCTCATGTTTCTTTTGAGCTACTGCAATTTTGCTTCACTCCCAAAGCACAGCACCTTCTTTGATGAGGGCACACCATGTGGGGCACTCCTGTGCCAGTGTCTCCTATGTCTCAAGATCAATTTCAAAGTTCTTCAGAGATACCTTGAGAGTGTCCTTGTATCGCTTCTTCTGACCACCAGGTGAGTGCTTGCCTTGTATGAGTCGTCTGTAAAATAGTCTTTTAGGCAAACATACATTTAGCATTCCAACAATGTGGCCAGCCCATCAAAGTCGTGCTCTCTACAAGAGTTTGAATGCTTGGCAGTTTAGCTCAAGAAAGGACCTCAAGGTCCAGTACCTTATTTTGCCAGGTGATTTTCTTTTTTTTCAGGCAATTGGGGTTAAGTGACTTGCCCAGGGTCACATAGCAAGTAAGTGTCAAGTGTTTGGTCTAAGTCTGGATTTGAACTCAGGTTCTCCTGACTTCAGCACCACTGCTCTACCCACTGCGCCACCTAGCTGCCCCTTTGCCAGGCGATCTTCAGAATCTTCCTAAGACAATTCAAATGGAAGTAATTCAGTTTCCTGGCATGATGCTGGTAGACTGTCCAGGTTTCATAGGCATACAACAATGAGGTCAGCACAATGCCTACCAAACTGAGAGTCTACAGAGCCAATCTAATATCTTTTCTTTCCCACACTTTCCTTTGGAGCTTCCCAAACACTGAGCCAGCTCTGGCAACGCACGTATCAACCTCATCATCTGCGTGGACATCCCTGGAAAGTACACTACCAAGGTAAGTGAACTTATGCACAGCATTCAATATTTCTCCATTCATGGGGCAGCTAGGTGGCACAGTGGATAGAGCACCAGCCCTAAAGTCAGGAGGACCTGAGTTCAAATTCAGCCTCAGACCAAACACTTGACAGTTACTAGCTGTGTGACCCTGGGCAAGTCACTTAATCCCAATTGCCTAAAAAAATATATATTTCTCCATTCACTGTAAAAATGGTTCCAAATATGGATGGCATGGTGCTGGCTCACAGAGATCCTGTGTTTTCTTGATGCAGCAGGGAATGGCAGTAACAGCAACAGAAGGACAACAAAGACACCAATAACAGACCTTTTTTTCCCTAAAGGTACACAAGGAGACAGGGATAAAGGTACTAATTTGATAGAGGTAATGGTGAAGAGGTAGACAGGAGGCACTATAGACAGAACTTAAAGAAAGCCTGCCTAAAGGTAAATCAATGTTTTCTTTGTTTTTGTGGAACTAAATTATAACAAGGGAAGGCACACAAAAAAGGGAGAGGGGAGTAGGTGGGCAGAGAGGAGTGTGTGATGTGTCAGGATCAAAGCAAGGGCTAGCAATGAAGGGAAGTGACCTTTGTGGTCTCAGAAAGAGAAGAACCTGTATAGAAGGGAATAGGTGAGGAGAAGGAAGGGAAGGACTGAAAAGGGTTAGGAAAGGAAGGAGGTCTTGCTTTGGTGGTGGGAGAGGGTTCCACTGATGAACGCTCCCATGAGTAGAGAGAGATGGTAATGTGAAGAGACATGAGGAGCTTATACTAGGTGCGGCCTGAGGGTGCTTGAAACGTCTACTCATCCTACTGGGGTGGGAGGTGGAGATGTGGAATCGAGGGGGTGGCCACAGAAAACTGGCACCTGGGAGAGGGGAAGAGCATAGACAAAGGGTGGAGATTTTGAGGCCAATGTGGAAAAAAGGGAGGGTATAGATCAGCGGTGGGCTGCATGATCAAGGACATGGTGCAATAATCGGCATGGTTCTGGGAGTAAGGCACAG